GTTGTTCACCCACAAAAGTAAAGCATGAAGCATTAAAATATGCAACGATAAGAAAAGTTAATTTATGACATCAATATGGAGGTATATTCGATAGAACCTATTTTTCACCATCAGACCAGAAAAACTAAAGAAAGGCCTAACAGGTCCAAATTAAGAAACAGGTGTGGGGACTTTCCTGTTCCCTTTTCTTGTTTTGAACGCGTGCAACTACCAAAAAGTTGCAAACTTGGTGCATTTTACAGAAACTGAGGCAAAAAGCAGTTGAAGCGTTGTTTTTTTTACATTTGTCCTCTAAAGGCTTCTGTTAAATTTGACCACTTTATTTATGCTCAAGGTGGAATTTGACTAGTTTTCCTGTTGGAACCAATAAATAAATAAATTATAAATTAATACATAAATAAATCAGTGTTATGTCGACTGTACCTTGCAGGAGAGGATGTTGCCAAAGGCAGAGAAGGTGTCGTACAGGGCTTTGTTGTCAATGGACTTGTCGAGGTTCTTGATAAAAACATTGCCCACGCCCGACTTCCTGAGGGAGGGATCTCTTTGGGACCACATGATTCTGATTGGCTTCCCTTTCACCACGTCAAAATTCATGGTGTCCAGGGCTCTTTCAGCTGCCGGAGGAAGAGCAGAGAGGTCACAGGAAAGGTCACTGGTGGTTATTTACATGTCAGAAAACATATCGGTCACCTTTACGTGTCATGCTTCAGTCTGTTATCTGCTGATACCATGCAACAATAATAATGCAGCCATTTTTACTGCATGCACTATAATAATAAAAGGGGTGAAGGTACTGCAGCAGACAATAAGGCTGATGAGCTTTCTGCAAGCAGCTGGGAAAAGTGTGGGGGGCAGCTGCAGTGGGCTAGCTTGGAGCACATGTCTCCCTGTTCTGATTAACCACATGCTGCTGAGCCACATGCCGCTTAGCAATGCAGCAGGCCTTCATTTAAACACAGAATATCAGCTCATGTGGTAGATGAGCAGTAATATGTTTGCATTGACCTTTATTCTGTGATCTGTAGGCCCAGGCGAACAACTGTACACCCCCCACCCCCATTATGTGGGCACATGCCAAACATCCTTTTGTTCACACACACACACAC